AATTCATTGTCTATTGACTAAATTTGGCTTAGTTTATATGCTAAATCTGATTAGTTCAGTATGAGGCGAACCAGTAATGATAAGTCAATGATATTTGGTGTGTTGTTGTACATGTATCAGCATTATAACATCTCCTCCATGGAGATTAGTCCTGGTCTATTGACATTAAATCTTTGGCTTATTTACATATTACAGCTTAAAAATAAAACGTTAACCACCTCCAGGTGGGGGATTTTCTCGCTGCGTTGAAGACCCATTAGTGGCCTTCGGCTGTTATCTACTCTTTGGTCGGGTTGTTGTCTCTCTGACATATTCCCCATTTCCATTCTCAATTTTAGATATCAGAAAATGACAATAAGACAACCATCGACATCATCTTACATGTACATGCATATTCATATTTTGGTGATCATATTGCTAGTAACACGAGTAGCATTGTTTGTTTTTGTAACACCTTTTTTTAAACTTCTGTACTGCCTACTTACGAGTCCTGATTGTAAATGGTCATTAACTTATATATTATGTTTATTTATGTAAAAGAAAAGAGCAAAATTCACAAGGCATAATCAATTTCTAAAATTATCTTTCATTGTTCAACATTTATCATTGATTCGTTCATTTCTTGATTTGTGTAAATGTTAATTATAGCACTGGTCAATTTCATACCACAACGAAACTACATCTTACAGTACCTGTATAACTTATATGTTTATCCATAGAACAAAAATCTTGAAACAAACCAAAAAAAAAATATTTTGCAATACCTTTTTCATTTCAAATACTTAAATAAACAGCTGCGCCATGAGCGCATGATACGCCCGTCGTCTTGTGTGTGAATTTTTTTGCAATAAGCATACATAGTTTCTGACATACGGCGTGACATGCGAAAACCCCCCCTTTTTTTTTTAAAAAAACTCAATTTCTCTAAAATAAAATTTTGAATCAAACCAAAAAGTATACAGATCTTTAGATTAATATAACTAATAAGTGTGTAAAATTTTAAGCAATAATCATAAATCGTTTTTGAGATACAGCGCGACATGTGAAACCCCCCCCCCCTTTTAAAAAAAAATCAATATCTCAAAAATAAAATTTTGAATCAAAACCAAAAAGTATACAGATCTTTAGATTAATATAACTAAGAAGTGTGTAAAATTTTAAGCAATAATCATAAATCGTTTTTGAGATACGGCGCGACATGTGAAAACCCCCCTTTTAAAAAAAAAAATCAATATCTCAAAAATAAAATTTTGAATCAAAACCAAAAAGTATACAGATCTTTAGATTAATATAACTAAGAAGTGTGTAAAATTTTAAGCAATAATCATAAATCGTTTTTGAGATACGGCGCGACATGTGAAAAACCCCTCCCCCTTTTTTTACAAAATACTCAGTAACTCAAAAACAAAATTTTGAATCATCACCAAAAAGTATACAGATCTTAAGGTTAATATAACTAAGAAGTGTGTAAAGTTTTAAGCAATAATCATAAACTGTTTTTGAGATACGGCGCGACATGTGAAAAACCCCTCCCCCTTTTTTAACAAAATATTCAATATCTCTAAAATAAAATTTTGAATCATCACCAAAAAGTATACAGATCTTAAGATTAATATAACTAAGAAGTGTGTAAAGTTTTAAGCAATAATCATAACTTTTTTTTGAGATACGGCGCGACATGTGAAAAAAAACACATCTGTTTTAGTTACTAAGTCCCGTAACTCAAAAAAGTTTTAATCTTATTTTCACCAAAAAGTTTACAGATCGTTTGACCATCATAAGAAAAAACTATGTTAAGTTTCATGAAATTTGGATAAGTCATTCTCAAGTTACGGTGCGACATGTTTACGCCGGACAGACAGACGGACAGACGGACGGACAGACAGACGGACAGACAGACGGACGGACGCCGGACATTTGTATACAATAATACGTCCCGTCAAAAATTTGACGGGCGTATAAAAATCATATTTCTTCAAGTATACACTACTTGTCATATTTCATTTTACAAATTAAGAATCATCAACAAGTTCATTCGATGTACCAAGTTAAAATACCCTCCCCCCCCCCCCCCCACCATCCACCCACCCACCCACACACACACACACACACAAAAATATATATGTATAATGTTTTTGTCCCGTCAGTCCGTTTGTCCAACAATCCTGTTCTTTTCATAGTAACTCCTTTGAAACTATACAACAGAACTTCAGGAAATGTTGTAGATAATTAGAATATATTATGTAGATATACAAACAAGGAGATGTGGTATGATTGCCATTGCGACAACTATTCATCAAAGTTCAAATGAAGATGTTCATATCCACAAAAATGTTTAATAGTTGACTTTTGTAGGGATTATGAGTCTTTGAGACATGCTTTCAAAGATTTTTTGATATCATTTTCATACTTGTCTTTTTTATACTTCGACCAGGCCTTGGAGAAGACATTTTCGAAAAAAAACTAAAATAACACAGATGTGTACTTTCTGCTAGCCCTAAGCGTCATGCCAGGTATTGTCATTACTTAAAACCATTAGATATATTCTAAGAAAGAATTTCAAAATCTTCTACTTATGATACTGCGCAGATCCTTAACTAATTTACAGTTTTTGTGGACAAACCTAAGTAAGAAATGACTAGTTGGTCAAAACCAAAGCACCAGTTTGTTTGCTGATGGCATTCTCTGCTCGGACACTGTCTAGCAGTTGTGGCCAAGTGGTAATGAAAACAAATGATATGATTTCTAATGTCATATCAGTACCGAAGAACACAATACTGTGCGAAAGGGTGATACCATTCCCCCCAGTGGCAGTCATGTGAAGGTATATGTCTCACGAACGTATACCACATTGCATGTCTCTTTTAGTTTGTAACCCGGATTTGTTTTTATCTCTTTCGATTTATGAACTGCGGCAAACTACTGTTGCCTTTAATACACATATTGTCTAATATTCAACTAGAACTTTATTACGGTTAAACATCATCCATACAGATTTCAGTAAATTTTATGTTTTTATTTTTGATCAATAATTACTGTGCGTACTTTTTTGTTGTATTGATGTTATGCGGTAAGCTGTCAATGCCAGTTGTGTAGACGTTTTTGATTTTGAATCAGACGGAACCATGATAGCATTACTATGTATGTACTAGTTGTGACTATGATCAATATGTGTCACGATCATGATTTTATGACTCAGTGTGATTTCATTTTTTACACTACACTCTTCCTTGTTTATCTTATTTTTATCAAGTTTTAGAAAGATACAAATACTTTTTTTTAAATTTGAACCAGAAAAAGGTTAGGGACAATCGTAACTACGACTTTGTTCACAAGTCCCCTTAAAACTTCATAAATTTTGAAATTCTAAATACACAAAACAATGAGGTGTGCGATATAAGTTAATAAGTATGTAAGGTATGTCGTTATGTTGCTGTATCGGTAAATTAACAAAACTACATCTAGGCAATTAATAGCCTTCAATAATAGACAGATACAATCTCTACAATATGTTAGGCTCGCAATCGTCCCGAATCCACAAAAGTGACTAAATCGTGCCGAATCCTCAAAAAGTGTATAAATCGTCCCGAATCCACAAAACGTGTATAAATCGTCCCGAATCCACAAAAAGTGTATAAATCGTGCCGAATCCACAAAAAGTGTATAAATTGCCCGAATCCACAAAAGTGACTAAATCGTCCCGAATCCACAAAAGTAACTAAATCGTCCCGAATCCACAAAAGTAACTAAATCGTTCCGAACCCAAAAAAGTGAATATATCAAACAAGCATTTTATTTATTTACCGAAATATTACCTTGGACATCATTTAAAACCTATTAGTAAGCGGACAAAAAAAAGCAAAACTGTGGCCTGTTTTGAAAGAAATCCACAACTTGTTTTTACCGTCTTTGTTCATGACCTTTTCCATATCGGCCTGGATACCATTCTTTGATCATGATCAGCTCTTTACTAAAGTCTCGGGATGATACCCAGGCCGATATGGAAAAGGCTATATATTAATCTGTATGTAGCACACAGAAGAAACTGTTTTTATGAATGAAGAACAATAACGCAACTTTAAAGTGACGGTAAAAATCGTTATTCTGTGCCTATATTATCCAAAATTTGCATTTACAAATAAATCCTTAACAATAGCTATAATCAAAGCTACATGTACCTTGTACGAACTTACTAGGCGAATTTTTTCGCTGTAGATTCTTTTAGAAAATATTTCGAATATTTACATTTTGTCAGTGTTTGTTCTTAGGGTAATATCATGAAATTTTATTAAATAAAGGGACAATGCTTGGAAGAATAACTCATTTTTAACAGGCACAATGTTGTTACGAAACCAACGCATATCAAAAAAGAAACAGATCAAGTAATTTCTTAATCAAGACACCCAAGACATCGTTTTCGTGGTGTAAATATCAAATTTTAAGACTTTTTTCTAATGAACACCGGGAAACAAAGTTTATACTTTTCTAATTCACCGAATTTTTTGTTTTTCATTCCCTTAATTCCGTAGAAGAAGACATGTATAACAAAAAGTAAGCGCTAACATCTCTCAACTGTTGTGTGTGGAGAATCTTATATAAGTTGGCTTTAGATGAATTTGGCTATTTATTTTAAGTATTTTTTGACATATAGCTCTTCAACGGTTTCGGTACTTATACATCTTCGGATTTCAAATGTTTGGCTTTGAGCGTTTCGATGAAGGTAAATCCAGAAAAGCGCTTCGGACGCAAGAAATTATTAAACGTGTTGTTTTCAATTTTTTATATAACTTAAATCATAGATCGTATTAATGCTATTATGACATTAAATAATTTAAGAGATGAAATATCATAAATTTTCTTGTTCATATTAAGTATCATATAGAATGTATTTGTCGAATTACCTCTATTCAAATATAGCGAAGCACAAAAATGTTTCAATAAAAAAATTCGTTTATAAATTCAACGAAAAGCGCGATAACTCAAATTGTCAATCATGAATGTTTTGATCGTAAACAAGACTGTTTCAGTGACATCTAACTTCCTTGTACGAATTCAGGTTTATTTTCTTTGTTTACTTATACTTTTTGTCTTTTAATGTAATAATATACTAGTTACTGATTGATTTATGTATATTTTCATAATTGTTTAACAAGGAAATGTACAAGTTTCAACATTATATGTAAATTAAAACACGATAAAGTCTAAAGTGTATCGACTTATATCACATGTTTGTAGGCTTACCTAATCATAAAGTGTCACCTGACAGTCATCAGTACCGGATCCAAGGGGGGAGAGGGGGGGATGGTCCGGGGTGGACCCCCCCCCCCTTTTTTGGCGATCAATGCTTTTGAATTGGGACATATGGTTGGAACACCCCCCATCCTTTTTTTATCCTGGGTTGGAACCCCCTTTTATAAATAGCTGGATCCGCCCGTGGTCATATTTATCTTTCTCGGATTATATTCAAGTACATTTCTTTATGAAAGAGTAAAATAGCAAAAATATCGACCTCCGAGGATAATTCAAAACGGAAAGTCCTTAATCAAATGGCGAATTCAAAAGCTCAAACACATCAAACGAAGGAATAACAAAGTTCTGTCATATTCCTGACAGGCATTTTCTAATGTAGAAAATGGTGGATTAAACCTGGCTTTATAGCTAGCTAAACCTTTCAATTGTATGCACGAAGGGTGCCACATGTGGAGCAGGATCTGCTCACCCTTCTGGAGCACCTTAGATCACCACCAGTTTTGGTAGGGTTTGTGTTGCTCAGTCTTTAATTTTCTATGTTGTGTTCTATGTACTATTGTTTGTCTTTTTCTTTTTTAGCCATGGCGTTGTCAGTTTATTTTCGACTTATGAGTTTGAAAGTCCCTCTGGTATCTTTCGCCTCTCTTTTGTATGACAGTCGCATAAAATTCCGTCGAATTGTTTAAATGAAAACAGATGTGGCGTATACAACATTATGACGGCAACCCAACGATTTGAAAATTAAAAGTTTTCATGCATGTTTCATACAACATCTCTGTGCTGGACAGTAAAATAGTTTACTATAGCATGTAAACTACAACATCATCTGTTTTACACATCGTTTGTAGTCCTAAAGTTTTGCGTCTTTAAGAGCTTTTTAAGTTTTCAGCAAAAATTGACATTTCATAGTTATTTGAACTCTACAACATATATTTTAGTTTTTTCATTGTTTATAATTAATGAGCTCCAATTGATGTTGTGAATGGATACTGTAAATATTAAAGATCTGCCATAACCCACTTCTAAATTTAACGAAAAACAATAAAATATTTCATATTGCTCAGGTACATATATATGTGGCGATGTTAAACTAGTTTTTTAAGCTCTCAACTCTCGTGTTTATTTGTAATCTCGGTCAATTGATTAACAAAACATACATTACAATACGGTGTATGCTAAAAGAAATGACGTTTGTATGTTCTTTTGTCCATTCAAAAAGTTGTGTTCGAGATATACTTTTTGTACATTTTTTTTTTTTTGGGGGGGGGGGCGGAGTGTTTATTCAAGAAGAGGAGATGGGACTGATAATAAAGCTCTTCTACTAATTAGCAAGATTCATTAGAGTAAAGGGACTTTTACTTTCACTTTTTTACTAAAAGGACAGAAAGCTATCATACTTAGATTTCAAATTCTCCCTAAAACTCCTGTCATGTTTGACCTTTTAGCCCCAGCAAAGGGTGTCTAGAACCGTTCTTGACACAATTCCTCTTTTGATCTGGTTTATTAATCTTGATCCACCAAAATATATTTTTAAAAAGCCTCTAATTGTTTCATATTTAGACATTTTCTACATACTTATACTCTGCCCATACTGTTTATTAAGTCTTCCAACATGCAAACAAAGTTTGGAGACTTATTGTTTTTGCTCAGTTCTTATTATTATTATTATTATTATTATTATTATTATTATTACTCTTCCCTCTGCCCTCTTCCTTTCCCTCTTCCTCTTCCGCCACTTTTTAAAATGCACTTGTCCGCACCCGTTCTCAAAAACCGCTAGTCAGATTTATTTAAGGTTTCACAATATGTTAGACTAACATGGCTAGTGGTGCAATCAGGGTTTCGTTTGTGTATTTGGGGTCTTAAAAGGAGTACTTTGAGAGGCCAACAGAATGGAGGGGTTTATTTTAGAACCCTATGGGATTTTATTTTTTTTATTTTCAAATGAATAATACCTGGAAAACCGTTACTGATAGACAAAATCTTTATAATTAAAAATGTTCTACACGATAAAGCACATCAAATGAAATAAAGGGTTAGTCCCCAGGGGTCACCCCACCCCCTGCCATTTGAAAAAGTTCTAATATCTTTTAAGTGGTCAAGATCCCCACCCCTAAACCATACACATTCTGGTTTGTCATGATAAAGCACATCAAATGTAATAACGGGTAAGTCCCCAGGGGTCACTCCACCCCCTGCCATTTGAGAAAGTTCTTATATATTGTAAGTTATCGAGATCCTCACCCCTAAACCATATATATTCTTGTTTGTCATGATACAGTCCATCAAATGAAATACAGTATAAGTCCCAAGGGGTCACCCCACCCCCTGTCGTTTGAGAAAGTTCTAATATCTTGTAAATGGTTGAGACCCCCTCCCCTAAACCATATATATTCCTGTTCGTCATGTCACAAAGATTCGAATGATATTTAGGGTCAGTCCCCAGGGGTCCTCCATCCCCAATGATCTAATATCTTGTAAATGGTCGAGATCCCCACCCCTAAACCACATATATTCCTATTCGTCATGTCAAGAAGATTTGAATGATATATAGGGTCCCCAGGGATCACCCCATCCCCTACCAATTGAAGAAGTTCTAATATCTTGTAAATGTTTGAGATCCCCACCCCTAAACCATATATATTCCTGTTCGTCATGTCACAAAGATTCGAAAGATATATAGGGTCAGTCCCCAGGCACCCCCACCCCCAATGTTCTGATATATTGTAAATGGTCGAGATCCCCACCCCTTAACCATATATATATTCCTATTCGACATGTCAAGAAGATTTGAATGATATATAAGGTCAGTCCCCAGGGATCACCCCCACCCCTGCCATTTTAGAAAGTTCTAATATCTTGTATTAGTGGTGAAGATCCCCACCCATAAACCCTATATATTCTGGCTTGTCATGCCAAGATGATATGAATGATATACAGGGTAAGACCCAATAGGTAATCCCCACCCCCTGTCATTTGAATATGTTCAAATATCTTGTAAATGGTCAAGATCCCCACCCCTAAAACATATATATTCCTGTTCATCATGTCACAAATTGAATGATATATAGGTCAATTCCCAGGGGTTCATAATGCAAATCACTTTACTGGACTTAACCAATTTTTACTGAAGTTTGCCCAATGTCCGCCGACAATGGGCATGACTGTAATTATGGGAACTTTGTTTGGGAGACTTCGTAACAGCATCCTGTTATATCATTTCTTGTTTATACTTTGGCATTGCACAAAGTTATGCATTTCTCAGACTGTCTTATCGTCTTTACACTGAATCTGTTTGAGGTGTATTGATCGATATTTTTAGTCATGATTTATTGATTATTTGTAATTGGCTTTGAACTAGCTTTCAATAACTGTGGGTATCTTATATCAGTGCTTTGTGTATATTGATTTTCTGTTAGCTGTTTTGGCGCTACGTACCGATCTGTTGAGTTAAGCCATTTGCAACTGATTTTTACAGTTTGTTTGATGTTGTGCTGTTACACCACTGTTCCAGGTTTAGGGGGGGGGGGATAAGCGCTCACAGAAATGTGTTAACCTGCCACAATCTTTATGTGCCTGTTCCAAGTCAGGAGCTTGTAATTCAGTGGTTGTCGTTGGCTCGTGTCTTTTATATTTGTTTTTTTTCTCTCTCAAAATTGTATTGTTATAAAGTTAGCCGTAAGTTATCTCGTTTGAATTATTTCACATTTTTATGTCGTGGCCTTTTTTATCATTGTTGAATGCTGTTCGGTGACCTATAGCTTCTTACATCTGTCCTGTGAACTGTGTTGGATATTTCTCTCATTGGCAATCATACCACATCCCCTTAATATTTCGTGTAATTTATTTAGTTTGCTTACCGCTTTTAATAAGCCAAATGGCGGGTCGCCCTATAGTGATCAGTCTGTCCGTCCGTTCGTCAGTCTGTCCGCTCTATATCTATTTCATACTTTAAACTTGATATGTGTATTAACCAACACCAGAGGGTGTGTCATAATGTTTGTACAACTTGCTAGGTTAAAGTTCAAGGTCAACAACTTTGGTTTCAGTTGACAACGCCATGTCCTATAGTGAAGATCGTGTCCGCTCTATATCTAGAGAACCGTTATAATGTCATACTTTATACTTGACATGTATATTAACCAACACCAGGAGGTGTGTCATAATGTATGTACAACTTCCTAGGTCAAAGGTCAAGGTCAAAAACTAGTTTCAGTTGACAATCCCATGTTCTATGGTAAAGATCGTGTCCGCTCTATATCTTATGAACCGTTATGATTTCAAAGTTTATACATGACATGTATATTAACCAACACCAGAGGGTGAGTCATAATGTATGAGAACTTCCTAGGTCAAAGGTCAAGGTCAAAAACTTTGGTTTCAGTTGACAACTCCATGTCCTATGGTAAAGATACAAATTTTTTATCACATGTCTTTCACAGCGGGGCCCACAGAGATGGCTCCAATCTCAATGATGTCTTGTTATGCACTATTGCTGATTATGATTAGAATGTTACCTTTTGGTTTTATATCGTTTTATTTCGATTTAATTAACGCATACTCGACATTTCTTTTTATTTCAAAAAATATTTTGATTAAATCGTATGCTCTCGTCTAAATAACGGCTTGCTGTCTCGTTAACATTTACCGACACGTTTTCTTAACATGACCTGTGAGTACATGTACGTCAAGAAAAAAATAACAAATTACACAGCTTTGAAAACAATTATAGTTCAAGCAATTTTCGTTTTTCCAGTTCATTAATTTTGTCAATACTTAAAGTTAATATTATGGTCATAAACCTCTAATGAAAGATAAATAAAATTGGGAGAGATCACAAATGCAATCCACTTTGTTGAAATTTAGCTGATAACTCAATTCTTTGAAGTTTCAACAAAATGTAGAATTAACACTTTGTATTTTTTCAGTGAGATTTTTTTAATCAACAATGGCTTCGAATTCATCACTGTGTGCTTTATGTGATCTCCGACATTTTACGATATCCTCTACACACTGGTGTCCTGAATGTGAGGAAGCACTTTGCATCAACTGTAAAGAACACCACAGTCTTTCGAAATCATCAAGAAACCACCATGTCATCCCTATTTCGGAGTATATTAGTTTACCTTCCTGTATCGCCAATATTGATTTGTTCTGTACTTACCACAATGAAAAATACCTACAATACTGTGTAAAACATGCATGTCCAATTTGTTACAAGTGCATAAAGGAACATGGAAAATGTTCTGAATTGATTCTTCTTGAAGAACTGACACACGAAGTAAAATCCTCCGAAGTTTTCAGAGATATGGAGCAAAGCTTAAAAGATATAATGATTAATATCAATCGAATCCGAGAAGACAGAAAGTCTAATAGTGAGCTGATCCATCACAAAAAGAAACAAATAATCGAAGAGGTTAGTCGATTGAAAAGCCAGATAATCCAGCGTCTTGATAAGCTGCAAGAGGATTTGATTGAAGATCTTCATAAAGTTGAAAATGAATGTTGCGTAAAGATCGCATCAATCGTTTCGTCTGTCAACGACCAAGATGAAGAGATTATTCAGTGCAACACAGAAATCGAAAACATGAAAAAGTATGCTTCCGATATTCAAGCATTTCTGGGAATGAGAGAAATCCAAAAGAAGATCACCAAAAACGAGAAATGCATTGAGTCTATGGTTGTTAACAAGAAGATAGAGAGAGTTGACTTAGAATATACTATAGATGCTTCTATACAAGATTTTCTGATTAATGTCATGACATTTGGTTCAATTACGATAAAGAAAAGTCCAACCAATTGCAATGATTTAGTCAGCAAGAAAAACAGACAAGCTCAAATATTGGCAACAGAAAAGGAAAATGTACACAATATCAAACTAATTTTAAAGCGGAATCTTAAAACTTCATGCGGAAATACCATGGGAGGCTGTGTTACTGATAAAGGTACATATCTCTTTACAAATTATGTAATCAGTGGCGAAAGACTAGTAGCACTGACAGCAGGGGGTAAATTTAAATGTAACATTCCATGGTCAAATCAATGTAGTTCCTTTGATTTGGTGTGCATAGACGACAATACTGTTGCAATAACTACTGGAGAATCTGAAGAGAAAACTGGTGTAATTATTTTTGATTTGACTAAGAGAATTAACAAACATTTTGTCGCTCTCCCTACTACACCTTTTGGTATTACCTACGATGGTAAATCCTTGATTTGCTGTTGTGCTACAGAGGAGATACATGTGATATCATGTACAGATTACAGCATAACTACCATTACAAACACCGTCTTACCTGTGTTTTCATATATCGCAACGCACGTTGACAGGATTTTATACACTAACCCGATGGAAAATAAAGTTACTTGTTGTTTGTATAGTGGTCAACTGGTTTGGGAGTTTAAAAATGAAAATGTTTTAAGAACACCACAAGGAATTACCGTAGACGAAAAAGGAAATGTTTTTGTCGTTGGGTTGAAATCCCAAAACATTCTTGTGATTGCAAGGGATGGAAAAAGCTACAAAGAGATAAAAACCACACATTACGGTCTCCCTCAACCAAGTACAATATTTTTTGACAAAATTAGGAAGCAGATGCTAGTCACAAACGAAGACAGTTTTGCACATCTTTATGACATTTCCTTTTCGTAAATCTTATTTTATGAATGACGTTTCTGAACTAGAAATGTTTTTCTAGTTCAATTATTCATATAGATATTTTGGGATTCCTTCAGCTATTAAGCTTTATCTATATTGAGCTAAATATACTCAAAAACACAAATAACGCACCACTTCTTCTCATATATAGTTGTTTCATAGTTGTGTGATCTTGTGTGTTTTTGCCAAAAAGTTGTCAAACTGTAGTTTATTTTAAGTATAGCCTTGGTATTATTCAACATATTTACCGAGAAATTCTTGTATTAGTGGCGACAATCAGAATTTCAGGCAATAAAGTAAAACATCAAAAGTCTGAGATTAGTCGATTTTAAATTGGCCGTTAGAAAACAAATGGAAAAGGAAACTGAACATCAATGCCAAATTCCTTGTTTACAATTGAGAGGTTACATGTGATTTCAGTCTTCATAAATTGTGTTTTTGGGTTAAAATGTGGGTTTTTAAAGTCAACACGGAAAAATTCAAAATTATTCATTTTCACAGAAGTTGATGTTGAAAATTTTTGTCAATATTTTTACTTATTTCAGTCACTGTTTTATAAAGATATAGGTAATAAGAATGTTTCCTCCAACGAAATTAATGGTACGTTTAAGTTATTGTTTAGTATACAGAGACCAATGCAAAATACTCATCTCTGATTTTGGTAAAACAATGTTTGCTACTGACACATTTTTATGAAGTAGTACAAAATAACTAATTGCAGTATCTATGACATTTAGCTAAACATCAATTTGAAACAAAAATAAAACTTTTATTAACATTCAATATAAATTACTCATCTCCTTCATTGTTCCTTGGTGGTCTAGTGGAAACATGCCTGCCACAAGTGCATGGTTTCGAACCAAGATTCTGAAGTTGGTAGTTTCTGCTTCCATCCCAAGCATGAAAGAATAAAGGGAATAAAGCATAGACTGTTTACCACAAAGTCGGTTGATAAGTCTTCCTAAGGACTGTTATCATGCAAGCTATCATGTGAAAAATCCGAAGCAAAGTTTCGGTCTAGATTATATTCATATCTCATCAATCTATTATCGTTTTTATGGACTACCGATTAATCGATTGATTGGTCTGCTCAAACTTTGCTTTTAATATTAACTGTTCTGGATTCAATTTCTGATTCGTCTCTAAACAGATCCCGTTCGGCATATTAAATCTGATTTTCAAAAGAAAGTCTGAAATTATTTTACTCGATCACATTTTAAACGAAGTTGTATTCCTTATTACAAATATTTCGAATGACAATTCTCGGTATTGTTAACAAGCTTTTAACTGTAAAAAAAATTGTTTTTAATTTATGTTGGATTTTTATCATAGATAAAGCTATTCGGCTGTTGTGTCGAAAAACAAAACTTGATTGATGGATGGATTGATTGATTGATTGATTGATTGATTAATTAAAACATGTTCAATGTATATATATTTATATATATATATATTAGTATTCATGAAGATTCATGTCTATATCAGTTTCATAATTCCTTCTTTTTTACTTGGCTCACACGTCAAGGCTATTGGATTTTAACGACACTGCTAGACGAATCTCAAACGACACCTTATATGGACTTCCAGACTGATTGCCACATTCGAGAAGATCGCGAAAGCGACTCCGGTTGTAGTAATCTGTATCTGTATCTGTATATGTATTTCTGCCAATTAAGGTAAACCTCCGAATGGGAGGAAAGTATTTCTACCACCGTGATTCCTCCACCACTATTTACACAGTTTAATGTAACTAGAACGGGTTCAAACAGAAAGATTTTGAAAGCAGTGAAAACTGTGCACCCTATAATCAGCATTACTTTTTTCAGATGACAATACGCATACTAAAAATCCTGACTAAAACTTAAGCGCAGGTACTTTAATTCAGTCACGGACCCGCTACATGTCGCAGGTATGTTCTAGTTATTAACTATGTATTTGTCATGATTTAACATGCTTTCTTTTTTTGCAATAAAAAATATCTGTTCGTTCATATACATGATTTTTATTTGAAATCCTCTGCCATTTCTAATGAAGCTTGACCAGTAGTGCTAATAATGTTATAAGAGGCAGAAGATATCTAGAGGACATTCAAAGCTCATAAGTCAAAGGGAAAAACATGTCAACGTTATGGCAAACCAAAACGACGAAAAGATAAACATCAGTCTATAAAACACTAAACATTTAATGATCAGTCTCTTTCGGTGATATTACAATCGAGGAAAATACAACGGAATTATGTTTCCGACAATTTTATCATATCTGTGGTAATCTGTGACACAGATATTCCAGAACGGTTAACCAACTCGACATTGTGTCTGTAATATTTGTAAAGAAATGACCTCAAGTTATCCACTTTGAACCATTGGTTCAATATCTTCCTTGTGAGCAGTGACCCTCTATTAAGGACATGTTGATGTAAAACGTAAGCTCCGAAATATCGTATTAACTGGAAGATATATTCTATGTACAGGCGTTGCCTGAATGTTTCTAATTAAGGAAGCTTAAATCATCTCTTTTGTCGTACAGTTTCGTTCCCATTCTGAATTTCTAGATGTTATACAAGATATGAGGCCGACAAAGTTTCACCTGTGGTAACCTTAATTTTAAGTTCGATATCCGATTTGTATATCGAATTTAATGATGTTTCATTTTTTCATTTCGTGACTTTCACATGTGGTCATGTTCAAGGATTATATTATTTACACGTATCAATTGTTTGTAATGTTTATCCACTGTTGGGTTTTTTTTTATTCTCATTAACCTTTTTTTCATTTAATATTCTGCAACAAAGTCGTATAAAATGTCTACCTATTATTGAAAAAATTATTTCATAAGGTCATAAAACACTACACAAAAATGAAGAGAGTGAGCAACACGAACCCATTTAAATTCGGAACTCGAACGCAGGTGCTTTGAAGTATAAGCAGTTACTGCTCCACTTATGGCTACCGTCGTAGTACTCATTACAATCACTGGGATATCAACTGGGAGATGTAAACCAAATATGAGGGCGCTTCTGAAATGTTGCTATCTAGAAAACGAAAATTCACAATGGGGAAATTGAATTCATCCTTTTTAATCATTGAGTTGATGTTATCAACCGACCCTCATTGTCAATTTTAAGGTGTGAATCAAGATATGAAGCAGACTTTTACTGCATCTATTCAACTATTATTTTAAGTGCATCAGAACATTGAAGTTTTTAATCAATGCAGTTCAATAAACATTAGAGAAGAGAAAAATAATAATTACTCTATAAATAATTGCTAAAATAAAGTGTTAAAAAATGTGTTTGGGGTTTTTTTTTCACGTTGGTTTGGAACATAATTAAGCGAACCAGCTTGGGTTTATTTTTATTATTATTTTCTTTTACATCCCTCTCGTATATAATTAATAGAGGATTCTGTTTTAAGGAGCACTTTTGTGTTGCGGGATAACGACCCTCGTTTACTATATTTTTTGCATAAATAATTTAAAGTTGTGTGCCTTTAAACACGTATGTATTAATCACTGGCTTTCAAACTTTTTTGTTTGAGCGTTCCTGATGGGGGTAAATCCAGAAAGCATGTTGTACGCAACAAATTTCAAATGTTTTTTTTTTTTTTGGGGGGGGGGGGGGGTGGGTTTCTAGCAATGGGTCGATACAACTGCTTATTGATTACTAGTCCTCTAGGGTATCATCATTTCTCTCTTTTCTACATAAGAAAATACCTGTACCAAGACAGGAATATGACAGTTGTGATCCATTCGTTTGATGTATTTGAGCTTTTGATTTTGCCATTTGATTAGGGACTTTCCTTTTTGAATTCTCCTCGGAGGTCAGTATTTTTGTGATTTTACTTTTTTCAATAGTGAGTTCGTTATCTTGATTTGTCTTCTTAATTTATTTATGAGATTTGAACATCTTTAAATTACGATTGCATGAATTTAGTATAACGTATGTTAATTCTATATATCCTCTACACAAGTGACCCTCTTTGTATTGTTGTTATAAAAGGATCTGTCCGATGTAATATCATGAAGGGCATTTTGTTATAAAATCACAGCTGCGATAAACACAATATTCAAAGTTATATATACCAACAAAAATGCGTTACGGTGTCCGAAATCAATGGGAGTGTATAAAATAATTGATGGAAAAACATCGACTTTTACATCAAAAAACCTAACTTAAGGAGCTTCTCATAAGCAGCATTTCTCCCTCATTGAAATCCTGCAATATTTTGTTTTCAGTTCTTCTGCTTATAACAATTCAGGAAACTTGTGAATGCGTTGATGAAGATTTAATTTAACAAATATACATGTATTTTCTTTTTTTTAATTTGAAGCGTGAACGCCATAATCTGCTTCAGAGAGTATACTTTTACTTAAAGAAAAAGAAACATATATGTTTTTCGTGCAAGCACCACGTATTTTCAGAGTCATGTTTTGGGTTAATAACATCGATTCTTGTCGAAAATATACAAAACGATTTGCAAAATTCGATTTTGAGTAATTTTACTTCTATTACGTCAATAAATATACATGTATTTTACTGATATTAGGCCATCATTGGCTGTAAAATGCATATTATTGATTTAAAAGGGAAGAATTAAATGTGAGTTTGAAGCTATAAGTATCTTAATTGATTATAATTTCATCAAAATGACGACAGCCGTGATCGTATTGGTTTTTGTTCCTCAATGATTAAGCAATACATGTTTAGGAAACGGAGATCGGGATGTTATAAGTTTGCCATTGTTTTATTGTCGCTTAACAGATGTAAATTCAAAGCTTTTTTTATCTGTACTTTGAGATATATTTCATGTTATTTAAAGCAGTGAACAATTATATGATGTTGTTTGTTGTAAAACGTAGTTCCTAAAACTTTACTCCTACAACATAATACAGTAAAGTCCCTAACATAGAATATTTGCTGAGGAATGTTCTGTTATGTTGTGCCACTTTTCTCTTTTGATTACACAAATTCATTACAAAGCGTATTTAATCATATACAGATATTGTTTTATTGTTTTGTATAGAAAAAGATCTGTAAGTTTTAAACAAGTGTCTCATCCATCATATCTTTTTTAGTTTATCGCCAAGTTCCATGATGGGGTTACTCAACAATTTCTAAAAAATCGTTTTTTTTTTCTTTCAATTTAGATAGATTTAGTTTAACAAAAATATCGAACTCCAATGAAATTCAAAACGGAAAGTTATTTAGCAAATAGCAAAATCATAAGCTCAAACACATCAAACGAATGGAAAACAGCTGTCATATTCCAGACTTGGTACCGGCATTTCCTTATGTAGAGAATGGTGGATTAAACC